CAACAGCCATTAAGCTCAGTGCTTAGTTTCATGTCCACAGGCAGCATGAGACCACTCATGTAGTGGATAATCTCATCTTCTGTCACATGGTGTTCTGTGACAGTAATTCTCCACAGTAGCAAAATATCTTCCCAGATGTTAAACTGTTTATTGTACCTGGGCACATCTGCTCATCCCTTTGTGTAGGAGATTGGCATTCGGTTTTATACAAAATAATTGTGAAACTAAAGCTGCTGTCTAAAAACTGAAATGATCAATGAATCTTCCATTTGCATAATAGTGTGGGACTGTTGCAGGTAGAATGATTTCTCACTGACACAAAACAGAATAATTACTTATCTGTCAAATCTTCCATTAGTGCAGCAGACAAAATGACAGAAAAGACAGTGAGAATCAGTGCAGAATCTTTTGCAACAACACAATTTCCATTACTTCAGGTGTCATCTAGACAGGACTATGCAATAGTAAGCTTGATTGGGAATTCAAAGTTTAACCCAAGTCTTCTCTCGCAGCCTAGTGAGTTAGAAAAAAAATCAAAAACCAAACCAAGACACAAAAGCTTTAATTAGATCAACTAATGTCACATATGATTACGATTTTGCTGCAACATTTTCCCTGAAACTCGCTGATGCAACCAGTAAAATTCCACTATGTAAGGGACTTCTGAATTGATGAGACACGTCTGGGCCCTTCCAAGGCTTTTGACTACACAATACATTGTCATTCTTCTTGCAGCTACTGCCAAGTTTACCCAGAAGGAATGAACAGATCAAATAATTTAAAGGAAATTAGATGGTCCACTAAAGCAGAAAGAGGGTTTTTGTTTTCCTGTCAAGAACAGATAATATATTTCCTGAACAGAAAACTTACCCACTAGACTCTCTATGGCAGCTTGCTATTTCTCCCTGTGAAGCAGTCAATCAGTCATAAACATTTTATGTTTAGGTAGCACCCAGGAACTCAAATGCAGAGATCAAAATAATGAAAGACCCATCTGTTGTCCTGAACATAAATCTAACCAAGCTGGACCACTGAAAGAGCATGCTCATTAGATTCAAGACTCAAACCAGCCCAGGTCCATATTGTTGCTATTACCAGAACCACACACAGACATTCTCTGAGTTTTGCCATGATCCTTGAGCCATATGGATATGCAGAACGTGCATCAGAACAGTCATGAAATATATGAATGAGTAATTCAGAATGGACCTCTGGCTCTTACTGATCCCACAGCAGCTACTGAAATTGGTATTGTAGCTTATAAATAATAAACTGTTTTGTGAAATCCCCATTTTGGGAGAACACCCAAAGGCTTTGGATCGGAGCCATAAAGGCTTTGATTAGCAGTGTTTACTGCTGTACTGTTGTCAGAACTGGGATTGCCCTAATCAGGGAAATGAAAACTTTTGCTTTGATAATCTATAGTCCCAAAACATTCAGATGCAGGTCAGTCCCCAAGGATCCCATTTTGCTGCCCTTCCTTAGACTTTCAGCTCACTCTTATGAAGTCCTTAACTTTCAATGGATGCAGACATAATCCTGAAGAGTTTTGCTTTAATTGTTTGTAGATAAACGCACACCAAACCAGAACTATGAACAAGGTCTTCAGGAGAATATGAGAAGCCAGATCACAGTGTTTGAAAACTAAGTATAGTGCAACCACATCTTTAACAGTTACAATCAAATTCCAGTATAACGTATAATATATATGTACTCCAGTTATCTGAGGCAAGGATGTATGCTGGAACAGTACCAGAGTTAATATATGGTGCCAATCCTAATTTGGAGTCTCTGCTGAAGAAAACATTGTTCCTGAATCTAAAATTTCCAGCATCTTCTGATAAGCATGACTTCCTGGGAACCATTGACCACAAAGATAAATGTCTCAAGTGTATAAACATTTTAGTTGAAACTTTGCAAGTTATTCATTGTGGAGTTCCTATCTCTAAAGATAAGTGAAGCTTACCAGGAGATGCCATGTCTGATACTGCAGATCCCAACCACAAAAATGTACTTCAGGTGCACTAACATATAGGAATGGCAAAAGAGGAAATTTTGAGATTAAGGCACAAATTACTGCACATATTCAAAATAAAGGATAGTTGTTTCAGCTTCCTTTTCTTCAAAGAGCAACACAGCAAGGGATAAAGATACCTCTCCACCTTTCAACTCTTATTTCTTTACCTAGGAAAGGCATATTTGGATCTTTTTCCCACCCAGTCCTGGAAGAACATCTTTCAGTGACTTCCACAATACCACAGGGCATGTCTGTACCAGCAGTGCAGCTGGGACCAGGAGTGTGCTTCTGCAGAAACTCCCCAGTGTCCCCACCTACTGCGCTTCAGTTGACATCACAGAGAAGTCTCAAGGGATATGATCTGGATAAAAATGAACATGAAAATGCATTTCTGGAGTGCATCTACTGCACTCCATGTGTAAACAACCAGCAAATCCCCAGCACACTGGACTAGAGTTAGTGTGAATTAAATAATTCTGAAATATATAGTCTTCTCCAACAACTGTTCTCTAAACAGCTGGTCTAACTCCTCTGCACTACTTTGTTAATGTAGACATTGCTGCAGAATGCCACATAGAATGGGTGCTCACAAAAATGTTCCCCAGAGGAAACAGGGAGGTAGAAGAAGAGCAAAGAGATCAGAGTGGCTTGGAATCAAGTAAGTTTTACTGCTAGTACTGAGCACACATTGCTTCAAGCTCAGCTTCTTCCTGCCAAACTCCTCCCAGACACCAAGTGAAGGGCTCAATAAATGCAAAGAGGCAGCCAGGCTAGGTTCAGCTAAACAACATGAGTGCCAAGACAGTTAACTTTGCAAAAAGGTCATGCTCTAAGAAAACTGAAATAGGCAACAGATATCTGCACATCTGCATTTGATGCCTCATTCCAGGGAACTTCAAAGATCATGGCTGTTAATGGAATTGGGATTATTTCACTGGGTAGACACAGCCTTTATTTTGAGAATTCCTCCACAGGAGAAACTAAAATAAAAAGCCAAGTCAACAATCAGTAGGTGAACATACTCATTTTACATGTTTCACTTTCCTGAAGCTGAAAAAACAAATATATTTCCTTACTTGAAGGAAATAAGTCAGGCAAGTAAGGTCTGTTTGATAGGACAAATGGAAGGGAAACATCCCAATATATTACTGAATTAAAAAGAGACAAATTAGTGAATTTGTTTGAAACAGTGCTAAATATGTGACACACTAAACTCCTACCTCAAAGAAAAGGGTCTTTTGAAGTTTTTCTTCCTGTTTCACCTACATGATTTTCTGAAAAAATCTAACAGTTTTGGAAAGACTGCTCAGAGTAGTTTGAGTAACAAACCAGAATTGCCTGTTGATGTCAACCCCTCCTATGAATGCTCCTATTTCCTTTCCACTGCAAAGAAGGTGCATTGAATGGCAACCCTATGTGTTGGTGATTTAAGTATCAGAAGTGCAAAAAATGAAACTATGATTTGTCTCTTGAATATATGCTCCTATCTTTGCTAGTGAAAAAGAGGTAGAGGTTAACCTAGCTGAAGATTTTCAGTGTGTTCATGAGCCCTGTCTTAGCTTCTCTTAAGTAAGATATTGTGGGAACTTTGCAGAAATCAATCCATATTAAACAGTGCCGCTGCAAATACTTTATGCCATGTCAGTAAGCAGCAGTAAGTGTGTGCCTTAATTTTTTGTCTTAGTTTTCCATGCAGACTACTGCAGCTGTTAAACACTGACACAAGTCTTTTAAAACTACCTAAATATGCACAACTCCAACTGTGCCCTTTCCTAATTTGCTACAGTTTATTTAAAACCATGGACAATTTTTGAACATACTTATTCTTTCCCCAGGACATTACCCTGGACTTGTCAGTACATACTGAGTTTGATTTCTGATCATTCTGTCTCCATCCATTTTGCTTCTCTAGTCTTGACTATAGAAAATCTGTCATCATTAAGTTCTTCAATGGCAGTTCTCTTCAGATCCCTATCAAATAAATACAAGTTTCAGCACAGATCCGGAGATGCTCAGTTCTCAACTCCGTATTTCAGAAAATTAAATATTTCTTTCTGAATCAAGTCACTATAATTAACTAAATAGCGTCTTTTTAAAAAAGCAAGCAAACAAACAAACAACTGCACTATGTAGAAACACCCCCTCCTCCTCTGGTTTTAGTAACTCAGTCATATAAGACTGCAATCCTTCATGATAAATGCCACAGGCATATAACGGTTATGAGCTGCCAGAGTACAGGATTAACTCAATTTACATTACAGTATAGCAATTTCAAACACAGCACCATGAAGAGTAATGATATAGCTAAATGCACTGGCACAGGAGGGCTTTAATTACCTTTTAACATATACTACTATCCCCTCTTCAGAATATGGTGTCTCCTTTTGGCAGCTCCCTTTTACCACACATTCCCTGACAAATGCCATGGTCCCCAGGTCCCAGTCTGTGGGTCTTGTGAGACTTAAGATCAGTGCAGGCTAATATCATTCTCCCATCACCATGTTTTCCTGAGGCTCAGTAGTGAAGAGGTCATAAAGATCTATTTAACTTGATTCTGGTTCTGACTTTGGCACAATTTTCTGAACGAGTAATTTTGCCAACTTTACCGAAAGTTCTCTGATTCTCAACCTAAAATTTCTTTGACTCAGAATTACGCCTTCTTCTCCACACCTTTTCTAATCCTAGAATGTGATGCTGAACTGAAAATCCTGGAGCTCCCTGCTAAACAGAACAGCAGGTGGAATAGGAGCAGCTGAAGCACATCATCTGTCACTGCAGTACCTTAGACCTGACCAGCAGGATGACAGAGGTGGTAGAAGTGAAATTCAAGTATACTTTCTGGATTCTTTGGAGTGACTATCAAAGAAGTCATCAGGCACAGTATCCAGTGAGTTTTAGAGAGACACACTTGCTCACTTTGCAAAAACTACATAGATAAAACAGTCACATTGAATTTGAAGACACGACAGGGAGAAGCAATAAATTCTCTCCTCATCACCCTGAGCATTTATTTGTAAGTCTCTGCTTTTATTCTGATTATCCAAAACATGTTCAACCACCATACCAAAGATGAATAATCCCCAATGGGATGAACTGTCCATCTGTAACAAGATTGCATGCACAGCTAAATACATTCTTGAAAGGACTACAAATCTTTCTGCTAGGTTCTGATCACCTTGCCTATACTTCAGCTTCTTGCAGTGGTCAATGAAAAAATCCAGAACTCCATATAGACAACCTTATATTCTGCTTTTGCACAATTTCTTTGTGAATTGTAATTGTTTCTTCCCTCCTTCTTGGACTATCCCAACAGGCTTAATGATGGTCCCACTGCTAATATGCAAATTTTTTTAATGCAATCACCTTCAATGTTCTACTTGGATCTTCCAGGAAAAAAAGTTTTTGTTTCAAACCAAAATGATTATAATTAGTATGTGATTTTGTTACAAATAACAAAATGTCTGTCTCATGATACAAAAGTCCTTGCAACTACTCAGTAGCTTCTATTGAAATCCCACCAGTCTCCTTATTTCTTGATAGATGGGGGCAGCCAGCTCTTTGGCTTTCTCTGCTCCATCCTCTAAAACCTTTATCAGATGGGACTTGTCTTCCTGGAGTTTCTTGATTTCATTCCTGATAGGTGCAAATTTTTGAATAACTGACTCTGCCACCACCATTTTGTAGTGAGCAGTGTCGAGACCAGTGGCTTGGTGCAGCACTTCCTTGATGCTGAGCCCTGTTACTGCAGCATGAATGGACACCAGATTGGAGACACCGGGGCGAGCAGCTGGGTCATAGGTCACCTCAGAGGTAAAGTCAGTCACAGCTTTGCGAAATTTCAGCACTATTTCATCAGGGCTGTCTGCTATGTTAACAGTAGCCAACTTCTGTGGGTCTGACTTGGACATCTTCACTGCTGGATCTCTGAGAGATTTTATTTTCTTTGTTGTACCTTAAAAAAGAAAGAAAAAAAAGGAGTAATTATGAGTGCAGACAATGGTTTCATATGAAATTTGCTAAGAACACAGGATGAAGCTGTTCATTCTTGCTCAAAAATGAGTTGTGAGCACAATCACTTATGCACTATTTAGTCCTTATGCCCTTCCCGTCCTTCTAAGAAGCCACCTTTCTCCTCCCATAAACTGAAACCTGCTGCATCTCTCCCACCCTCACTAAGCAGAAACTTCTGCTGGGACTTCTCCTAATACTTTCTATGGCTAACATGCTGATTTCTCCCCAGAAGTTTTTCTCCCTTGTATTACTGACACTGGGAACAAGTTACCTAAAGAGTATGGACTTCACTGAAAGGTTCTGAGCAATGGAGAAACAGGTTAAATCTACTAGTAAAAAAGAATCACAGAACAGTTTCTCTCTTACTTCAAGAAACTCTTCCACTCATAATTGCCTGGTAATTCTCCTAAATTTCAATATAGACAGCTATTAAAATTCTCTAACTGAACAATAACTAGCTCTGCTAGAGGTAAAGCACTGTTCAGATAAGAAAGGTGTGGGTACTGTACAAATTGCTAAGATACATGCATGTACATTAAACTGAATAGTAGCATTAGGGGAATACTGCAAAGTACTTTAACAGCATACACCCAAACACCAAGAAACATAATTCATGGAGGTCATAAAGTATCACTAATCTAGAGAGTATTCATACTAATTGGTTTTAGACACCTTACACGGCCAAATAATTTACCTGCGTACTCCTCATAGATAGTCTACGTGCTCAGTGAAATGATAAAGGTTTTTCCAACATAAATTCAGACTGCCCCAGAAACTGCTCTGTTCTGAGTCACCTTTTGGAAGTCTGTCTCTTTTCTGTCAATCTGAATGAGTCCAGGTAATTGCCCTGCCTACAGCTAGTGAGTCTGAATAGGTCCTTAACTTCTCCACTCATCTATGATATTTTGTTGGTTTGCATATACTTGTGAACTTAGGAAGGAATGCTTTTCATGAGCAAGGTGAAATGTTGTTGTTTTTAAAAATTGAGCTTTTTTATTTACTGGTAAATAGTCTTACCTTCATCACAGGCTACACTCAGCTTTTCTTTATAGTACTTAGTATTCAATTGCTTATTAGAAACTGCAGTTTTTATTCTCTGAGCTCCACTTTAGGTCTAGCACCATTTTTGAAAACTGAGGTTTGAAAACTGAGAAAGGTTTATTACTGTCTGTCTTTTCTAAGGTGAGAGCTTCTTGCCCTTTTGGGGGCGAAGGTCTCTGCTGTGCATTCCTCTACATTACTTACAACAAAGATGCAATACTTCTTCCTTGCCCAATTCTTCACGTTTCTTAACAAACATGCCATTTGTGCCATCTGACTCCTCCTCACCTCCCGGCCTATGACCTTATTGCTCAAAAATGGCTGAGAAGATTTTCCTTATAAGTCTTCCTGAATGTAAGATCAAAACTGGAAAAGTCTTAAGCTCTGTAAGAGACGTACTGAAATACGCAAGTATATATTAAACACCCTTAAAAATTTTTGAGCACTGTATCAATAAATCTGCAGGCTGTTTAATATGCTTAATGTAAACATCTACCACTTGGACTTTGAGAATTCTGCTTCCTAGAGGTCTCCTGAACTAGCAACATGGAGCAGAGACCCTACTCTCAAGAAGTCCAATACTCGAAGAGCAAGGCTGACTGGCAGCAGCAGAGTGCATCTGGCCCCCTGGACTAGAATACCAGACGTCACATACATTCCTCTACTAGGGATTTGTAAAGCCTTATGTCTATCTTGGGAGTTCAATTTCACAGCCTCTAGTTGTCAGTTTTTAATTTTCCACTCCCTTAGCATCAGTTTGTGCCCTTTCCTTGGTCCCTGAAACTATTTCCACAATATTTAAATCCATCTCCAATCTTAAAAGTGCAGTTAAGGGAAAAAAAAATAACCAAGACCAGCTCACTTAAAATGGCTTTGGGCACAGGAAAGAATTCTCCATATTTCTTGTTGAAATGTTGTGCTATATCTTGGGCTAGTTCCAGGTGCAGGACTTGATCTTCTCCAACAGGAACATGTGTTGACCTTTTAATAAAAGACAGATACAGGAAACTCAGCAAAGCTCTCTGGTTCTGCTGAAATGCTACTCAAGACAGTCACAGCTTCTGCCATGACTGAGGGCCAGATTGAGCCAAACACTCAGTCCCAGCTAGATAAAGGTGCTGCAGGAACAAGGTCCGAAACTGACCATATCCCAAGATGAGTCTGCATTTTGTGCTGAACTGAAGCACATCTCCAAGGGCAAAAATAGCCCGTCACAAAAACATACATAGCAAAGATACCTGTAAGAAGAACTCACTAAACTCAGCTCAGAGAAGGTTTTTGTAGTATCTCCTGCTGTCTCTTTAGAGATCAAGGGGCATGTGTTATAAGTATGCAAAGTAAGAAAGGTCTGCAAGGCATAAAATGCAAGCACATTGTCATGTCAAATTTCAGGAAAACATAGCTGTTGTTGAGAAGTTAGTACTGAGGATGTACCAAGGGAAGGAAAGAAGAGAGTGGTTCATCCTCATGGGTCACTGTTGTATAAATATCAAGTGAGTCAGTGCCTTCATTGTTACAAGCGTTATCATTAGAAGATTAGAACTGTCAGATTCAAAGGATCATTTGATCTTCTGTATTGAACTCAATGGCTTGAATACACTTCTGGAGGAAAACACAATCTGCATCAGAGGACATGAGGAGGTGAAGAATCCATTATTCCCCTGGCGATTCTTTCCCACAGTTAATCATACTTGCCAAAAATGTATGATTCTTTTAGATGAGGCAGACTTGAAATCATGCCAGCTTTTGATTACTCTCCCATCCCCCAGCAGATTTTTTTTTTTTTTCCTAAGGCTTGTGGGGTATTCAGAATCCTGGATATGTTCCAGAGTAAGGAAGTTCACTATGCATCTTTTAAGTTCCCAGAAAATTTCAGTTCAACACGGTACTCTTTCCTTCCGATTCTGAATTACTGGGCTGACGTCCAAGAATCAATTTGTCCACCTTTATTCCCCACCAAACAGTCAGCAAGGCAACCTAAAAAGAGTTACAGTAGCCAATAGGAAGTCACAGTGGCCTATAACTAACATAGAGAAAAATCAGTTACCATAATCAATATACTTTAAGCAGGTCAAAAGAAATGTTTCCATATGCCAAAATGGTTCCATATTCACAAAGTTTGCCACTAAAGAGAAAACATATTATCTTTATAAATGCCTCTGCCTTTTTCCTTGATTTTTTTTTTTAAATATTTTTGTTTTGGTGCTATTTTAACTCCTTTCTGTCATATATTTATCTTCTGTTTTTTTCCTATCTCTTTGATCTTTGGTTCATCTGAGTTAGTACTGTTTCTCCCATTCCTATAGCTCTAAATTATTCCTCATGACTGCCATTCTCTTCCTGTGTTTCAAGTTCTCCCTAATTCTTGTTCCTTACAGTATTTTTTTACATAAAAAATTTACATTTCTTTCACTTCTTGTTTTGTGCTCTGTGTGGACAGCCTGCTGCTAATATAGTAGCAAACAAGCCACTGGCTTTACTAAGGAAATACAAATTACATGATCTGACTAGAGATAGAAGAGACATACATAGTTGAGCTCAATCAAAACAAGGTGATTTCTGATAAAGTTCTCTAAATTTCACCCTTAAATACCGCTTGATAATCCAATGTGACTCACTGCTAAGAAGATCATTATAATAATCGGATTCTTTCTGACTTTTGCTTGCTTCCCATTTTTTAGTTAAAATTCAGGTGAGTTAGAAATATAATCTACTGGTCTTCTAACAGTACTGTTTTCCCCTACTGTGGTTACTTACAATGAAATTTCTCTAGATGCACTTTTCTGAATTAATAACTGGCTACTCTTGGTTACTCTGTCACAAAGTCCCCCTCCTCACAGTTCTGTACTACTAGTCTGTCCCAACAAACACTCTCACCTTCCCTTCAGAACAATGCCACAAATTACAGATGCTCAGAACATAAAAATAATTAATACATAGTGCATTGTCTCTAACATTTACTAATTAAGACAGTTTAAATCATATTATGATATACAACGACTCACAACAATTCTTATCAGCTAGGCTACAGGCTTAGGCATGCTGAGAAATCACCAGTCTCTCTTTAGTGGCTATTTCCTTTGAAGCACATAGTACACCACAGAGAAAACTGAACTAGCACAGGTCCTACAAGGTGCAGTCACCTTTTGTCATCAATATGAAAAATCCTACACTAATCCCACACTACTACTCGTATATTACATACAGACAGTTTAGGTATCTCTACAGTCAGTACACTGCATAAAGTTAAGCATAACTACTTAAAAAAAAAATCTATGTGTGTAAACAAGTAATATGTACAATTAAACATCAATCGGCTATAATTCCCTAAGAGTTATTCTCAAGTGACCAGCTTTTTCTCTTTACAGCCCTATCAGTTGCTTTTTAGCCAGGCTAGATTTCAACCAGCCGCTTGAGAGTCTGTCATCCATTTCCAATCTTCTGATCTAATCACACCCAGCTCCCCCACTTAATAAGTTAGCATGTTGACCTGACAAACATTCATTCTAATGTAGCTGAACAGACATTGCCCATGGGCTCACGTTCTGTCTCTTACTTGTACAGCAAAATATCTGCTGCTTGAAGCACAGGGTAAGTCAACAAACCAACAGTTCCTTCGCTATTTTGGCTGGCACGCTTCATCTGTTTGAAAAAGAAAAATAGAGAGGAATCACACTTTTGCCTAACGGTATCAAAATCCGTGATATTAGTTAATTAGAATCCTGACTTCTTGAGTAACTTATTGCGTAACTCTAGAGAAGAGAGTGTCATGTAAATTCCATTCCTTATGAATAGACATGTTCTGTTTCACGTCCTGTATTTATGAATTTCCCTACACTGTTTTGATATTCCAGTGGGAAGAAAACAGAGCCTTGTGTTTTCTGTTTGTAACCTTATTAATAAACACAAAACAATCAGACGGGGTTATTACAGTTAGTATCAATAAATCCTACTTTTAAAATAGCATTTTCAGAAATAAATTTTTGAAACACTTTACAATGGAGATATAAAGATTACATAATACCTGTGTTTCACAGAAAAGAGATTAAGACAGTGATCACAGAGTCACACAGACAGTCAGTGGCAGCTAGGAGAACCCATAGCTACAGAGGTGGAGTCCAGTGTTCTCTCCATTAGTTCACACTGCTCCCTGCAATCCACCTAATACAATATGGATCACTTAAATCAAAATAGTCAGGCTACAGACACTAATTATGTTCTAGCAATGGCTTACCTACATTTTGCTTTTAGCAATAGTTAAATATACTAAACCCCTTGAAATCTTAATTATTTCATTATGACTGTTCAAATATATTCAAATTTTTCTCACCCTCTCCTATAAATCCTATATTCTGTCTACATCTCTAAGTGCCTAGGGTTCAGGGAACTTAATTTGCAAAGCCTAGCACCTGTAACACCTATCTGAAGATTTGGAAAGTCAATCCAGTCAAAGTTGGATTTAAGAGCTTAACTTTAGGATCTCAGGTTTGAAAAGGTTTGCTTTAATCTATGACATGCATTAACGCTGGTTGCTGTATTTAAGTTTTACTGGTTTTATTTAATTAAGAAGAAAAACAGGAAAAAAGAAAACATCTGGAGGTATTTAAGGCTGCTCTGAACTCTGCAAGCCAAACTGTTCTTAAGCTGGTGTTTTTTTCCCTTTTTCAGATACTTCTCTCTCCTTTTGCTTTTTCTACTTACTAAATGCCAAAATAAAACACAAGGAAATTAAATGAAAGAACTGTTGATGCCATCATGCTGATGCAGTACCAAGATTAAGATAATGAACATTTGAAACTTGTAAAGGCAAACATTTAAATATATTATCACTCAGCACATTTTTTATATTTATAATTTCTACACTCTTCTTCCGACATACAACTCTTTAGAAGACTCTTCCATAAAATCTACAGAACAGCCACTCTTTACAGTGGAAAAAGAAAAGCTGTTTATGGAATTCCTTAATTGTCAAGGCTCAAGGTTTCCATTGCAATATCTTGCAGTAGTTTTACATTATTTAATAAGCATTGAAATTATTGAAATAACACCAAATATTCTAACAAAATCAGTTTAACGACACTAAACCAACCGCATATTTAGTACAATTTCTACAAGTCTCTGCCAATAATACTATTCTGTAGCTTCCAGCAGGAAAATGTTCATTGAGAGCAACAGACCTGGAAAGACACTTTTCCCCCCTTCCACTGCAGGACTACAGAACTACTTAAACCAAAAGCAGGGATAATCAAGATACAGTTGGGCATTCACAGATAACAAGTATTTCAACACAACAAGCGTCCATACCTTCCACTGGGGCAAACGTAGCAGGCGTGGCACATTAGTTAAGCACCCAAGAATCCAGGCAAGTTCTGCATGCTCAGGAACCTGAAAGCATGAAGCCAGAATCTATTTTAATCTCCTTCATTTATATGCACATTTTCCCCAAATCAATAAAGACAAAAAGGATCAGAAAACCAATTTTTAATATTATTTTTTCAGTAAGGTCAAGGGACAAGCTAATGAGAAGTCTTAGACACTGCCAGGATTGAATATCCTACACTCAGGTACCATTCTCGATCCTATTCACTCATGTTCTAAATAAGAAAGAAAATGCTTTAGCAATATCAGAGTTGAGCACACATGTAAACTAATCAACTGTTTGCCACTGTGCCACAGCCTCTCCACACT